ATATTATAACAAAAAAGTAAGCTACAAGGTAGAAATATTATATAAAAAAAGTAAGGTATATGGTAAAATATAATTATATTTAATAATAAGGAAGGGCAAGATGAGAGAAAAAAATAAGGTAACGACGCGACCACACCAAATTGGTTGTTCCATAAAGTGGCTCTTTTCGTCGTTACGTAACTACGGATTTAACGATACAATACAATAAACTTTAAGTAACGATAAAAAACAAATAATATATATTTAAAATAATAATACGATACAATACAATAAGTAACAACCATCCAAACAAGTAGTTATGCAATCATACCTCTAAATATTACTAATTAAGATTCGTCATTTGTGACTAGTAAAGGAATAAAAAGGAGTTGAGTGAAAAAGATTAGGCATAATCTGGAAAAAAAACTAAACAGTATTTTTATGAGGTAAAACCGTAAAAGTTTGTCATGCAAGGAACATTGTGTAGGTAGGGTAAATCATACCAAAATATCTAAAACGGGGAACAACTAATATAATTGAAGGATAGCGACTTTACGCCATGAGAACATGGGGTTCCCTACATGAGTTTTAAATTAGCTTATTTCCACAAATTGACTTTTGCATGGAATTCTTTTATTTTTTTAATATTTCCCAAAATGTTTTTTTGATTAGCTATAACTTATAGCCTGTGTGACTTAAGCTTTTATACTACAGGGGTTTGTTCCTATGTCATAAGCACGCTTGGAGTTAGAGCCTCAAAGGGGGGAAAAAGGAGGGGGGGGGGGTAGGGGAGGGGAGGGGGGAGGGATTCTCGATCCATTCTATGTGTAAACATGGGCGGACGTAGTGTAGAAGTTACGTGTTGATTCAATTTCAGTAGCTTTAGTTTTAACATTAAAAACATACGTTAAAAATTTCACCAAGGAAATACGTATATTTCAACCTTAGTAAATCAAATAGGCTGTAAAAAAAATTTGAATTCGAACCCGTAAAATTTAAATTTTATATTCGGACTAAGGAACCAAAAGTGTAAGAATGTACAACTTATTATTGGAAATCGATGCACTGGTATAGACTTTGTGTTCCGAATTATAATGACATACTCCACTAGACAAATATTATTTTCACATATTTCCTCTTTCTTCTAAGAATATAAATTTTTATACGTACATCTTTTAGGTCAAAAAACAAGATTAGGGATGGCAAATGGGGCGGTGCGGGTTTAAGGCTATGTGGGGCGGGGAGGATTTACAGTTATGCGGATGGGGGCGGGACGGGTTGAAATACCTTTTCATAACAATTGATGCGGGGCGGGGCGGGGCGGGGCGGGTTAAGGGTCATGCGGGTTTATGCGGGTTTAAGTAAGTTTTCTTCTTATTCTTTTTAAGTTCGATGATAACTTCAAGTTATGGTCTTTTATAGTTTTGTTTCGGAAAGACAAATATGTGCTTAATATTTTTTTGATCAAAGCAGACATTTTTTTTTTACTTTCCTGTTGAACTTCCTTCAGAGTACAAAAAATTTAGCTGACTCAAACAAATTAGTTTTATTATTGGGTTATACACAAGTCATCAAGGAATATTAGAAATAATATTATAGGAATGTAAATACTATTTTACAATGAATACTAAATTAATACATAAGGGGTCATCTGCTTTTCACGATGAGCAACACATTTTTTTTTTTTTTTTTTTAAATTGAAGAATTAGTACATAAACAACAAAAGAACTTTCAAATTTGGGTGTGAAAATTTCAGCCAAAATAAAAAATAGAAATAAGCAAAAAAAATAAAATAAAAAACTTATGTCGGGCGGGACGGGGCGGGTGGACGCGGGTGTGTGTGGGCGGTGAAAATGCTACGCGGGGCGGGCGGGTTAAAATCTTCGCAGGTCTATGCGGGTTCGCCCCGCAACCGCACCGCACCGCACCACTTGCCATCCCTAAACAAGATATCTCGTCAACATTATATTCACATAACAATCAAGCGATCATACAAAGTAGCTCGAATCCCGAATCCACATAATGCAATTATAATCATCAAGTATCATCTTATTAAATAAATAAAACATCGAGAACATATATATATATATATATAGTTTACCCTCGAAACTATGGACCAAATCCCTGTGATAAACATTTTCAGAACAAAATTTACCTTACACACTCAACCTTTCTCGAGTGTGTCTAATACACAACTCTTTAATGTTTGACCACTTTTTTCTCAGCAAGTGTAGTCACACGCTAAAAATAATGTGAAATGTGTGATTAACCTTTTGTAAAATATAAAAAATACTTGAAATTATAATTGTATCCTAATTGCCAAAATAATCTTCCATCTTCTTCATCTTCCCCAAGCTATACCACCATGGCTGCCAACTCTCCAAACCGGAACACTGATGCAAAAAGAAAAAAAAATACCACTACCCCATCCTACCACATTTAAGACCCACCACCCCAACCGTATAAATTCCCCGCTAATCTTCATTTTCTTTGCCACATTCAACACCCCAACAGTTTAAATTCACTACTACTCTCTATTTTTTTTTTGCCACATTCAACATTACACCCATTTAATTATAAAACTCAGATTTGTCTGTGCTGTAATTTTAAAAACTGGTGGTGTCTCTTCCAATTCATGAGATCATAGACAAGATCTTCGCCATTGCCATATGTAAATAAGACTTCAGAAAAAGGACTGCATATCAAAGTTGTTAGAGAGAAAAAAATAAAACCCGACTGGGATTAATCTGTATCTAGTTTATCAAAATTGGAAAAAAAAAGCAGTCATTCTGGGGTTACATCACCTTTTTTATTATTTCAAGAAGCTAATCAAAATCTAAATCTGAAAAACACCCAATCTCAAAAACAATTGTCATTTTGGAGATTTGAATAGCGAGTCATAACCAAAATATATTGGTTTTCAAATATGGAAATTTTGGTTCTTTGTATTTTCTCGTGCCCCTTTAGATCTTGGGGAAAAAATCTGGTGGGGCGTGTTGAGGTGTTGTGATGGAAGAACCTGGAAAAGAATTGATAAAAAATTTTTAGAAAATAAAAAAATGGAAAATGAAAAATCTGCACAAATAGTTTCCAAATGACGCTTTAGATACAACATTTTAACTCTTCACTCGCCTCTTATGCGTGAAAATCACGAGTGTAAATGTAGTGTGTATTAGATACACTCGGGAAAGGTTGAGTGTGTAAGGTGATTTTTGTTCCCAGAAGGTGTGTCACAAGGATTTCGTCCATAGTTTTGGGGGTAAACTATGTATTCTGCCTATATATATATATATATATATATATATATATATATATATATATATATACATAACCAATCTTATGTGCATTTTTTCATTAGGGAAAGGTTGAAAACGAGGAAAAGTACGTTTGTTTGTTTTAGAGAAACTTTCAGAAGCCACTATGTTTTAGTGGTTATTAGCTAGTTGTAGCTATCATTTATAATATTACTTCCTGTAGCTATGTTTTCAGGTTTTATAGAGTGTATTCGATGTAATTAAGCTACTGTATTCATGAATACAGTAGCGTTTCTAGGCGTGAAACAGGGGATTACAGCTAGACAGATTTTTGTATTCGACTGTATTCACGACGTGAAACAGGGGATTACAGCTAGACAGATTATTGTATAGACTGTATTCACGATATGTATTTGTGAATACAGTAACGTAAATAGCGCAATTCATGGTCTATTCAGCTGTTTTTAAACGGAAAGTGAATCAAAAAACATAATAGACTCCTAATATAACTCAACAAACTCAATTAAAACACACAAATTTGTATTTCCAGTTATAAAAAAGATTCTCAACCAAAAAATACCCCCCAAAAAAAAAATAATAGCAATCTTCAGAGAAAATATGCTGAATATTTTCTCCAGCCGATAAAAATACAACAAAAACAGAGCAATTTGAATACATATATACATCTGAATACATAAATTATATTAATTAAAATAAATATATGAATACATTCATGGAATACAACGAGACAGTGAATACAATGAAATACATGGAATACAATGAGATACGTTGAAAAACAATAAAAAAAGACAATACAATGAAATACATGGAAATACAGGGAGATACATTGAAATATATTTATTCAAGCTGATCAGCCCCAAACTCTGTCGTCTTTGTTCAAGAACAACCCTAATGTTGTCTCGTCGAGAGGGCCGCGATTCTGACTCGAAACGCCACTGTTCCTGTTACCATAATACCCTCACGTGCGCTTCAAAAAACCTATTCTTTGCAATTGAATTTGAATGGCGCTTGTGGATTGGGACGAAAAACCCCAGATTAGACAGAACCCTAGAACGACGAAGAGAAGAGAAAGACGGAGATTTATATAGAGTTTTGTTTCTAAATTCTAGATTGGTAATATAATCTGAAGAGAAGAGGAAGACGCAGAACCCTAGAACCCTCACGTGTTGGCTTTTTCGTTCTGTGTAGGGGAGACTTGGTAATATAAATTCCAGATTGAGAGTCAAAGCTGTCCGTTTCGATCTGTATTTGGGAGAATTGTGGTTGTATTCATGGAGAAAGACTAGAGTTGAGAGAGAGAGAGAGATGAAAGAATGAGAGAGAAAAATAATATAAGGCGTATTTTATGGCTTAAGAATAGGAGGTGACCATAAATAGATATTTGTCTGTAAAAATCAAAAGGTAGCTGTGGAATATGATTTTTTAAAAGGATATTTATTTAAAATAAATAAGGTATCAACCTTTGCTATAAGAGGTAAAAATTCCTTTGTTTTATGTCTTCAAGCAAAAGGAAGATTAAAAAATATCGGACAAGTTGCACATTTGGAGCGAAATATATAGAAATATGTATATTATATATTTATATATAAAAATTATATATTTTGTTGGCTATTATTTTTCTGAGCGGCTATTACAGTGTAATTTTTCGAAAACGGACCAAAAAGAACTGGACCGACAATAAATATCTCGGGAGCCCAAAGTATCAATTCGGCCCGGTAAAGAAGTCCAAAGTTGGAAGGGCAATTCTGTCATTTTATTATGACCCATAATAGTGGCCTTTAGCTGGAGTCTGTCTACTCCGCCGAGCTTCATCGTCGTCGAAGAAAAGCTGTATCTCTCAGGTTACTGTTTAATCCCTCTCTCCGTTCATTGTTTTTTTACAATTATTTATAATAATTTGTATTAAAATCTGAATCGATTTTATTTTCAATATTTGCATATGTTTTCCCCTTATTATGCCGCTAGACGCATATTTGTGGCGGCAGAGGATGAGAATATTCGTTTATTTAATCATTTCTTTAGAATTTGTTAATATTTGGCTTAATTTTTATAGGTCTAAATAAATTTAGGAATTGAGGTTTTTTCTTTTTTAAAGTATCGGAAGGCTGATTAACACGAAAATATCTTACTCAGATATTTGCAAATTTGTATTTTTTTTTGTATATGTGGATGTTGAAATTAACATGTTCAATTAATTAATCAATTAATTGATTTCACTGAGTTATGAGATTACAGTTTTAGTTGTCTGAGGAATTTAATTAGCGTCTGTGCTTTTTTTAGGAATTTGATTAAGGTAATACTTACCCAAATCGAGTGTTTACACTAAACTAAGTAATTTAACTTTACCAGTTAAAAATCAAAGCAAGTGTTCAATTTCTTTCATTACATTTCCCCTAAGAAGTTACCATACTCATCAATCGTCCGGGTTTTAGGTTGTCATTTCTGCAAGCATTGTGCATTTCTCTCATAGATCGCGTAAATTTGACGCAGCTTTGTATGTTTACTCTTATTAAGTACATTTAATCTAACCACGAAGAGTAAGGCCAATTTTTATGAAGTTTGGCTTCCGATATATCATATACCATTTGTACTTGGGTCATCATACAACATTGTCCAGAAAACGATTTTCCTAAGCATCTTTCCAACGCTTGATTTATTTTGTTTTTTTAGGATACTTTCTAAATCCAAAGATTTTATTATTCTTAAAAAGGTCAATGAATACAACTAGTGTTGACCATATTGGAATGTCAGTAAGTGTCATTTCTCTCTCTCTCTCTCTCACATCAATTAGGGGTTATCTTCATTTCTTCCGCAAATTACAGCTCAATTCTGAGCTTGACAGCCAGAACAATTACAACTCAATCCGAAGTTGTTGGGGTTGGCTATATGGATCATCACTATCTATTTTAGGTCATTTGGACACATTTCATTCCTATATTCAATAATTTAAGTTCTCTAACACTAGAAATTCTCTAAATGTTCTACTGACATACAAATCTTTACGAAGATAAAAGATACTCCTAGTAGACCTAATATGTGCTACCAACATTACTAAGCCTTCTTTTTCAATTAACATCACTAAGCTTTAATCTCAACTAATTGGTATTGCTTGTATTGATCTTTTTCTTCCATTGTAATTCATTTTTTGCTAAAATCTGCATGGATTTCAAGAGATTGTAGGTATTTCAGAACTTCCTATCCTATGAGACACAACCAACCTTTTCTCATTTTGTCTCCTAGGTGTGCTAGTTGTAGGGATGTCAATGGTTCGGTTCGGCCGGTTATTTTATAAAATTTGTACTATACCAATTTTTCAATTATTTTATTATATATAACCAAAATTTGACTTTTCGGAACCGTCCCAATCATGTCGGTCTCTCTTCTGTGTCGGTACGGTTCGGTTAATTTTCTGTTTTTTTCTTAAATATCATGTATAAGTCACTAGTAGAAGTAGAATGCAATAACACACAAACTTTTTTAGGACTTAGCAAAACTGTTCAGACATTTTTACTGTTTAAAGAGTGATGAATTAAGAAAACATGAAAGATGGCCAGAGTATAGATCCATTAACTATTCTACTGCAGCGTAAAAGAAACTAAACAAAGACAAAGAAATTATAAATAACATGAGTGGAAAGATATTAACCAAGTTGGGACTCAAGAATAAAGTCTATAGAAGATTAAATATTCAAAAATAAGATAAATATAAATCATACGAAAGGAAACATATAAAGTACATTATAGTTTGCTACTCATAATCGCTAGAATACTTTGTGTCTTGCTAGTGAATATGCTGAAAATAATTTAGTTTCAGTAGGAGTAGCATAATAGGTATGAGAACTAGGATTTTGTGTTTAATTACTTGTTGGCTTGTAACCATTTTCATAATTTCAATGGCCAAATTTAATGCTTTATTATTTAAATTTAATATATAAATATATTTTTCACATGTAAATTTATTCGGTACGGTTCGATATTTTTTCGGTTTATTTTAATAAAATAAAAAACCGACCCTAATTATCGATACGGTTATAGATTTATATAAAAACCTACAATTTTATTAAAAGAAACATAAAAATCGATTCGGTACGGTACGGTTCGGTCAGTTTAGTCGGTTTTTGAATGTTGATTGACACCCCTAGCTAGTTGTACCTTCTTTCTGATGTGATCATTTCCAATATTGTATGACCATATTTCTATCTTATCATGTTATCTGCGTGACACTTGTGTTGCGGATATGTTGGGCCTTAGAGGTTCCTTCTTCACTTCTTTAAGACATTGTTAGTTTTACAACAGTTCTATGCAACTTGCCTTTCATTTAGGTAGGTATCTTCCTATTGCATAACACTCCTGTAGTACTTCTCCAATTCAACCATTTTGTTTATTTGTACATGTTAAATCCTCATCATTAGACATCTGAATTGTCTGTAAACAGGCACTTAAATCCGCTAATCTCGTATCAATTTCGTTCCGCTTATGCTTTGGACTTGCAGTGCATATGTTCTGTTTATCCTAAAACCATTACTATCTACATTGGGTTTCCATATTTGAAGCTTTTAGTTGACGCTCTCATTAATTTCATCGATTAACAAAATATCATCTGCTAATAACATACACCAAGAGATCTCAAGATTATTAGGTAGTTCTCTCATTTTGAGGGTTAACAATTACTCTACATGCTCAATATAATACCTGGTGTGGACCCACAATTATGAAACTGCCTTGTATTCCTTATTCCCGTTCTCACACCCGTGTCGACTGCTTCGTGAATATTAACATCTGGATATTTGATATATATTCATTTCTTCTACATCGCCTATCGAAGGACTTTTCTTGACGATCTATTGTACGCTCTGGCTTTCCTTTTTTAGCAAATATATGGCCTCTACTGTAGATTTACTAGGCTTAAATCCAAATTTGTTTTACATCATCGGAAACTGTTTCTAAGTCTATACTTTATCGCTCTTGTATTGTTAGGACGCTCTCTATAGTTTCTCTTTTTCTCCTCAGCTTTTTAATTCAAACTGCTGAACTTTGTTTATTTTCTTCATTGATTCTTCATAGTTATGGCTGGTAGAAATCGTATGCCCCGTCAACCTGATAACTTCCGAGGATTCCGTGATGGGCCACCACCACGGGTCATTATGCAGCGAGGACCAGGACCCCTCCCTCCTCACCCCGCAGCCCTTGAAGAGGAACTAGAAATCCAGCATAGGGACATGCAGAGAATTCTTGGTGAAAACAGACATGTGATTGATGAGAATGTGATGCTTGAAAGGGAATTATCTGCTGTAAAAGATGAAATGCATAGATTAAGTCAGGTCATTCCCAAAATGCGTGCTGATAATGAGGCACAAGTAAGGGAGTATATTGACAGAGGAATGAGGTTAGAAGCTGATCTTCGAGCTACTGAGCCTCTGAGGTTAGAGGTAATCCAATTAAAAGCTGAAGCTCAGAAGTTAACTGCTGTACAGAAAGAATTATCTGCCCAAGTTCAAACTCTTACAAAGGATTCTAACCGACTACAAACTGAGAATAAGCAATTATCAGCTATAAAGACTGATATTGATAAAATGCGCAAAGAGTTGACGGAAGCAAGGTATGGAGTTAAAACTTTTTCTCCAAAAGAAAAAGATGAAAAAATGCACTACTTTGTTATTATGGTTATCAGGTGTCATAATCCTCATTCTTTACAATTGAGAACGTATGTAATGGCGAACTTGTCAGAACTTCTCATTTTGACTATTCAATTTGATGATGAAATTTTAGGAGACAATTTGAATATGAGAAGAAATCAAATACAGAACTGGTGGAACAAAATCAATCTATGGAGAAGAATCTCATTTCAATGGCTCGTGAAATAGAAAAGCTGCGAGCAGAGAAAGTTGGACGGGGCCTTGGTAAGTTCTCTATCTCCTTTCGTATCTGCTTTTCTGATGTGAACTTTCGACCCGTGGAAAAAACTTAGTTTATGTTTCTCTTTTTCATTTAGGTGTAGGAGCTTATGGCGTGATGAATGGAAGCCCTGAGATGAGATATCCTGGTGGTGCATATGGTGATCCGTACAGTGCTGGTGGTTGGGGTTCCTATGACAATCGTGGCCCTCCCCGACGTTGAGTCCTATATTAAAATGTGACAGCACTTGAAGAGAAATGTAATGTGAGATTTTCTTCCTATTTAGAAATGTAACTTAAAACCTTTATGAAACAAATACGCTTTGAAACCAAGATTTGCCGATTGAACCTTGAGCTTAAGAAAACATTATCTTGGAACATTTCAAGAATGTGGTTGTTTCATACAATATCTTGCAGTCCAATTAGAAGTAATTTCAAGATACAACCTCTCTCTAACAACCTCGTTTGTTCTGATATTTTTTGGCTGCTATAGTGAAGTATTGTTATAGAGGACATATATTATATCATAGCATAAACATCTGTTCCGAGAAAAACTTGGCTTTTATAGTGAAATGTTATTATATAGGGATGTTTTAGATAAGTGATTAGCTCAAAATTCAAAGCTGTGACTTCCCTTTGTATGCGATGGCAAGACAAACAACATTTGCCAAGGGTACAAGTGCAACATAAAACCAATGTTTTTCTCCTAGAGCTTTACTACTTCAGGGATGTAAACTGGGTATTTGTGGATACAATCAGACCAAGGTCCATTAGTTGGAGTTTTAATTGTCTTGTTACACTTCCAAACAGCACTGTTACACTTGAATCCACTCCCAAATGCAATCTGCCAAACTCTGTCACCTTTCTTCATCCTTCCCTTGGCTTCAATATAACTTAGTTCATACCACAACGATGAGGAAGATGTGTTCCCGAACCTGTGCAGTGTCATTCGTGATGCCTCAACGTGTTCTGCAGATAGCTGCAAGTTCTTCTGTAGTTCATCGATCACTGCTCTGCCACCAGCATGAATGCAAAAGTGTTCAAACGCTTGTTTGAAGTCTGGAATATATGGTTTAAGTTTCAGGTTAAAGACTTTTCGGCCAATGAGTGAAAAGAGAAAGAGAAGTTGTTCTGAAGGAGGAAGAACAAGTGGTCCAATTGTTGTTATATTGGATTTTAAGGCTTCCCCTGCTATAGTCATAGGGTCTTTTGACAAAGAAATTCCTTCTTTCCCTTCTGAATCTTCGATTTCAACCACACAACGGTAAGATTTGTCGTCTGCTCCTTTGTGGGTTCTCACCACATGTAGCAACTTGTACTTGGCTCGCCATTGATCCGCCCATTTGTTTGATAAAAGAATGGCAGCACCACCCATTCTGAACAGACAATTAGGGAGTAGCATTGATCTATCTTTGCCTCTATAATAATTTGGTGTTATGATTTCTGTGCTAACAACAACAGCGTTCGATTTTGGATAAACTTGGAGAAGATCACGAGCTAAATCAATGGAGATTAGCCCTGCACTACACCCCATTCCTGAGAGATTAAAGCTCTTAATATTACCTCTCATTTTGTACTTATTAATCACCATTGCTGATAAAGATGGCGTTGGCGAAAAAAGACTGCAATTGACAATAAGAATATCAATATCTTTAGGCTTTACTCCTGTTTTCTTGAAGAGAGAATCAATGGCTGAAAATATCACCATTTCAGATTCTTGTCTTGCAGATTCCATATTAGGTGCAGGTGGGATATAATGAATTGCTGGTGGCAAACATGTTTCTTCACCTAAACCAGACCTCTCAAGAATTCTCATTTGGAATTCAACACTCTTTGGTTGTGAACTAAGTATAAGTCTTGAATGTTCCATGAAAGTTGAAAATGGAACTCGACAGGAGACATGCGGCTTGTAACATGAATAATCGATAAGATAAACGCCTCGAGGCCTTGACATGAAGTATAATATGGACAGAAAGATGATAAGGAAAGATGAACAGAGTACAACAACTATCCTAGTACAATCCCACAAGTGGGGTTGGGGTTTGGGAAGGGTAGTATGTACGCAGACCTTATCTCCACCGTAAGGTAGAGAGGCGAAAGATGAATAGAGTGTTTTGATGAAATCAAATTGAAGGGAACTCCAAAGATTGAAGATTTTCTCAGGACCTAATTGAATGACTTGAACAAGAACAAAAGCCATTGTGGGCACCAATAGACATGTCAAGAAGTTGTTAACAAGATATTGGTAGCCAAGTTTTACATACTTGAGTTTGAGTGAAATGGGAAACTGAGGTGATCTCTTAGGCATATTTGTCAATTGTCTTTAAGAGTGGAAAAATTAGACGAAAAATAGAGATCAATTATAAAAGTTTAACACGCTGGTTGTATACAAGGAGAGTGAGAGGATATATAGGAGACATTTTAAAGACCAAGGGCTCGTTTGCTGCGGGACAAGGGATAATTAATCTCGGGATTAAATTTGAAATGGGTTTATAACATGTTTGATTGAGATAAATTCATGGTATAACTAATCCCGAATTATAGTATTTTTCCCCTATGGAGGATGGGATACTAATCTCAAAGTAATTAATACCGGGATAATTAATCATGAGATAACTTATTTCCCAACCAAACGACTCCTAAAGGATCTTAGAAATACAGAAAGGACAGATGAAAGGAGATCAAGTAAAGGCCGGGCTAGAATTTCAAGCTTGTGGGTTTAGAATTTTAAGTTATTGGATTCCAAATTAATAATTTGTACATATTTAATAAAAATTTTAAGACAGTAACATGATTTTAACCAAAATTACTGGGATCAGTCGAATTCCTACCCGACATTGTGGCTCCGCCTCTTAGTAAAGGTCTCACCTTACCCAACGCTCACTTTTTAGGTCTTGCCTTCTTTTCTTTTTAGTCCATTTAAAAAAGAAATTAATTTTAACATTTTTGTTTTATTTTTATGGATATGACATGATATGTTTATGATCAGAAGTCACTGGGTTATGTTATACATGTCTAGTTTATGTGTTCAAAATCATCTTCTTTCTATCTTAAATTTAGTATTTAGTCACATATTGTCATATAAAATGACGGTTTTGAAAACCAACAAAGTTTTGAGATCATGATTTAATTTAAACAATATTTTTAGTTGATCTTCGAGTAGCTTCGAGGTGTATGATTAAAAAAGAGGTGATCACCAAACTAAAACAACCATCCTGCTATCAAGTTGGATTAAATTTAATATTTTCCTTTCCTACTCAATACGCAGTTTGCATCCATTTGTTCAGTCCAAATATAAATATAATATGTATTGTAAATTTCAGAAGTCATGTAAATAATTTGATCAATGCGCTTACGTATGAAAATACATTTGTGAGATAATAATGCGTTAGAACTTTGGAGTTAGGTGTACGGACTACACATTTTTCCAGCAATAATGCCACGAAATAATATACGTACATCTCAAAAAGAAACTATCGTCCTATGATATTTAGACCAATCCACATTAGCTTAGTGCGGTTTGTGATAAAGTTGAGGCAAAAAAGTGAATTATAGTCAAGTGATATCAATTTATATAAAAGTTCTGAAAATTGATAATGTGCAAATATGTTGGGTGTGAGAAAAAAGTTCCATATTGGTAGCTGAAAAGATTGAGAGTCTACATATAAGGTGTAGGGATTTCTTAATGGTGTTAGGCCTTTTGGGAAAAATCTCGCGGGCTTGATCCAAAGCAGACAATATCACACGATGGTAAGAGTGTATTTGTGCTAGTTTAGCCCAACAATTGGTATCAGAGCCCAGGTTTAGCGAGACAAAATGGAGATGACAAAGTGATGATGCGGGCGGCGTACACGCAAGAAGAAGCTAGTTGCGGGTTTCGGTTGCCAAATACTCTATAACAATGTGGGTGGCAAGGTGTGAATCTCGAAAAAAAAAACCGTGAATCGTGGTAATGAGCCATGTGAAACTTAGTTCGAGGGGGAGATTGTAGGGTGTACGAACAAAGTCCCGCATTGGTAGCTGAAAAGATTGGGAGCTTACATATAAGGTGTAAGGATCTCTTAATGGTGTATGACCTTTTGGGAAAAATCATACGGGCTTGTCCCAAAGCGGATAATATCGCACCATGTTAAGAGTGTATTTGGGCTAGTTTAGCCTAACAAAATGGACTTACATAAGATATCTAACAATAGTAATTATGCCTCAGCCCCAAAATAAGTTTAATGACGAAGGGATGTCGAAAAGGGATACTTGGTCCGAGGCAGATTAGGATTTGAAGTTTATAAGTTATTCAACTTTAACTCTAAGTTAATATGCAATAAAAATTGAGTTCATAATCAAATATTTAAGGATATTAAGTCATAATTCATATTTCTCATAAAAAACACGTAAAAATTTCATGAGCCGCCCAGTTTTGCGCCCCCCATTTAACGTATATCCACTTTTTCTAAATTATTTAACTTGTGCCCAAACTTCATGCCAAAAAGGCCTGAATCAGCCATGCTGAGCACAACTTCAGGCCAAAAAGGTCTGAAGCTTGGCATTGTCAAGGCCACAACTTCATGTCAAAAAGGTCTGAAGTAAGTTTGGCCTTGCCAAAACCATAAGTTCAGGCCAGAAATGTCTGAAGTTTGGCCTTGCCACACTTCAGGCCAAAAGATCTGAAGTTGTGGCCTTGCCTAGGCCAAACCTTCTAAAGCAAGTTTGGCCTTGCCAAGGCCACAACTTCAGGCAAAAACCACCCGAAGTTTAGTTTGCGAAGGCCACACTTTAGTCCAAAAAGGCCCCGTTTTGGCCATACATTTTGGCACCGTTTTTTCAAATTTTTTTTGAAAATATTGTTTGTTCATAGATTAATGATCTATTTTTGAAAAATTTCTGAAATTATTTTTCAAGTTCCCAAAATCTAGCTTAGGGTAGATTTTGGGTGAAACTTGTTCCCTCACTCACAAAACTTCAAATTTTTTTCAAATAAAATGCATGTCCAAACATAATTTCAACTTCCAAAAATTATTTTTCAAAACTACTTCAAAAATTATTTTTTCAAGTTTCAACTAAATCTACGTCCAAACGCTAGCTTGAAGTTGTTGGGTTTTTTATTTAATAAATAATAACAAAAGAGGTGTGAATGGAAAATGTTGGGAAAAGAAATAGAGGGATGACCCGCGACCTGGTCCGGTCTAGCCCGTTTTTCTTTCCCGGATTAATTTAAATTCGTTCTAAATTTCCCGCAAAAATTTCCAACAACCATGGCTGTTCTGAAACAGTGTCACACCCGTTCCAACAGCCATGACTATTCTGAAAAGTTGCAAACCTCTTCAGAGGGTCACACCTGTTCCAACAGCCATGACTGTTCTGAAAGGTTGCAAACCTCTTCAGAGGGTCACACCTGTTCCAACAGTCATGACTATTCTGAAAGGTTGCAAACCTCTTCAGAAACATCACCAAGTTGGCTATAAATAGACCTTCAAATCCCAGAATATTTACTTACGAAATTTTCTGATTATCTTCTTCTTCTTCTGCACTAAAATTTTAGTGTGTTTTGCTGCCATCGAGTGGTTCGCTAATCATCGGCGTTTTTGGTACCAACACTCCGGTGAGTTAAATCGTTCTATCCTGGGAGGATATATTCCATAACCTCCGGTACTTGAGGGGAATAATTTCCTTAAGGACACACTGTGTATTCAGTGGGCTCGATTTATTCCTTCAACGTTTCAAAAATTATTTTAAAGTTCGAATATTATTTTTCAGAATTGTTTCTACTAACTTTCTGTTTTATTTTTTCAGAAAGATTACTGTTTTATTTACTTACAGCAATACAGATAAATAACAATCTTAAGGAAATTATATTTATTATATTCTGTATTCTGTCTGAATTTTACTATTCTGATTTGAAGATATAAAAACTTCATCAGGGTATTGAAATTCAGAAAACGATTTGAAGAACATAAAAACTTCATCGTTTTTCTGTAAAACAGTATATAAAAACCTTAGTTGTTTTTATTACGTACTGTTTATTGATTACAGTATTATTTACTGTTTTGGTTTTGCCATTAATTGATTTCTTCTGTTGTTGACAGTAAGAAATGGCAAATGAAAATGGAAATCCTTCTGCGACTGTTGGCGCAATGACGATAGCCTCGTCAAGCCGCACTGCTGTTCCTCCGGCTGAGAAACCAGGGAAATTTTCTGGAACCAACTTCAAAGGATGGCAGCAAAGGGTGTTCTTCTGGCTTACCACACTTGGTATGCAGAAATTCACTAGTGAAGAGCCTCCAGTGCCTGCTGCGGACATGCCGGATAATGAAAAGTTCATGGTTGTTGAGGCATGGAAGCAGGCAGATTTTCTTTGCAAAGGCTATATCTTAAGTGCTTTAGAAGATGACTTGTACAATGTGTACAGTGCAATGAATACTTCGAAAAAATTATCGGACGCACTTGAGAAGAAGTACAAGACAGAAGATACATGCTTGAAGAAGTTCGTGGTTGCCAAGTTTCTAGACTATAAAATGATAGACAACAAAACTGTGGGAACCCAAGTTCAGGAGTTTCAACTTATTTTTCACGACCTTATAGCTGAAGGTATGGTCGTGAATGAAGCATTTCAAGTAGCTGCTATGATTGAAAAATTGCCTCCTTCGTGGAGAGATTTCAAGAACTATCTGAAGCACAAACGCAAAGAAATGAAGTTGGAAGATCTTGTGATACGTCTAAAGATCGAGGAAGACAACAAAACAGCTGAGAAGAAGTCTCGTGGAAATTCAACGATCATGGGAGCTAATATCGTTGAAGAGACTGCTCCAAAAAGTAAGAAGAGGAAGAGGTCTTCTGGACAAACTAAGGAGCAGAACAAAAAGAAATTCAAGGGCAGCTGCTACAATTGTGGAAAAGTCGGTCACAAAAGCCCAGATTGTCGTCTCCCGAAAAAGGATAAGAAGAAGGGACAAGCCAACATAGTGGAGAAGAATAATGAGATTGATGATCTTTGCGCAATGCTTTCGGAATGCAATTTAGTTGGAAATCCGAAGGAGTGGTGGATTTACTCTGGAGCCACTCGACATGTTTGTGCTGTCAAAGAAGCATTTGCGACTTACTCTACTGCTGGTCCGGAAGAAGAAATTTCCATGGGAAATAATGCAACGGCCAAGATTGAAGGTTATGGGAAGATATTCCTGAAGATGACTTCCGGCAAGGTGTTAACGCTCAACAACGTTCTTCATGTTCCTACTATTAGGAAGAATTTAGTTTCTACTTCTTTACTTGTAAATAATGGATTCAAATGTGTATTTGTTTCTGATAAAGTTGTTGTAAGCAAGAACGAA